AGTCAATAGTTATTTTACACGACAGCCGGCATCTTCAGTTGCTATTTCTGACCGAGGATTAACAGCTGTCGGATGGGGCACCCAAGTTTCAATTTGGCGGGGTCTTTTCTCCAAAAACTCTCTAGAACAGGAGAAAATACAAAGCCCGTACATGGCATGGGGTGGCGAGGGCAAAAGAATTGAGCGTGTACGTTGGTGTCCATTTGAGGATGTGTTGGGAACTTCACACGATTCCGGGTTCTCGTCGATATTGGTTCCAGGTGCTGGAGAAGCCAACTTTGATGCTCTGGAGGTTAATCCATTCGAGACCACTAAGCAACGACAAGAGGCTGAAGTGAAGTCGCTGCTCAATAAGCTCCAACCAGAAATGATCTCATTGGACCCCAATTATATTGGTAATCTTGACCTGAGATCTGATGAGCAAAGAAAGGCCGAGAAAGATCTAGACAAGAAGCCAGAAGATCCAATGGCTAAAATTAAGAACAGGGGTAGAGGTAAGAACAGTAGTCTGAGAAAGTACCTAAGAAAGAAGAGCTCCAGAGGTATTATAGATGATCAGAGGGACAGAATTGAAGAATTGAGAAAAAGTCAGATGCAAAGGGAGAAGAACAGGCTAAAATCTACCGAGGAGGAACTTGGACCAGCACTCGGTCGCTTCGCGAAGAAAAGTGCTTAGATAATTTGGTGCATTATTGTTGATATCACACACTATGCAAGGCGCTATAAGGCATAGTGTAGGAATTGGGAAAAGAACTCTGTGGCGCCTGGCGTTTTAAGGTATTATCGAGGCGTCGCGTACTACTTGTAGTAGAGCGTGGAGTGGTTTAGCTGTTAAATAATGAGAATCTATGCGACCACTACAAGGGATCTTCGTCCATTCCAAATGAATATCTACGTTTAAATTCGATAGGATGAGGTTTCTCATCTTCGCCCAGAGTGCATGCAGCCCTGATTACTTTAGTTGTTCCAAACCCTCCGTGGGTTTTGGGCCACCTCTTTCTTTGCTGACCCTCTCCGCCCCACTGCCTTTCCATGCGCTCTCAATTAGACCAATAATGTGTTCCATTCCGACTCCTCCTTTGACCTGAGCAAAGACAGTCGGGCCTCCTTCTCTCATCTTTCTCGCATCCCTATCCATAACACCCAAATCTGCACCCACGGCTTCGGCCAAATCTGTCTTGTTCACCACCAAAAGATCGCTCTGAGTGATTCCTGGTCCTCCTTTTCTGGGAATCTTGTCACCTCCACTGACATCAATGACGTAGATGATGTAATCCGCCAACTCTCTGGAGTAATTAGCGGCCAAGTTATCACCTCCCGATTCGATGAGTAATATGTCGGAAGTAAATTCACGGTGCAGATCTTCAAGAGCAGCAAGATTGGCCGAGATATCTTCACGGACAGCTGCATGAGGACATCCACCGGTTTCGATGGCACGGATACGAGATGCAGGCAGGGCTTTGTGTTTGGTGAGGAACTCAGCGTCTTCTCGGGTGAAGATATCATTGGTGACGGCAGCGATTGAGTACTTTTCTCTGAGGGCATTGCAGAGTGCTAACATCAATGCTGTTTTGCCGGAACCTACAGGTCTGAATCATTGTTAGCAATACATCACATGAATCCTCGGGTGACGATTACGCAAAAGAGAACAAGATGATATCCATGATTGAAGCATTTGACAACAAAAGCGTGGTAGACACGTGACTCGATTACCCCTCTAGGTCATGGAGGGGTTGTTTGGACGAAACAGTTTCACGAATGGGACTCAGGAACACGTACCCTCCAATACCAACGGTAAAGGCTCTCTCAGACCAATTTCTGCCCTCTATGATTGGCATCTCTCTCCCCATGTAACTACCAGGTCCATCGAGAATCTCATGAGTATGGCCATGGTCACCAGCTGGATGGTCGTGAGAGTGGGATGGACCTCCTTCGTGAGAGTGAGACATGATGGAGTTATGATATGGATAATTTATGAGAGAATGGAGTGTTAGAGAGATCACAAGCTGTTTAAAAAGTAACGGGTATGATATTACGATGGATTCCCAACAAATAAAAGGATTTTGTAATGATCTTCGAACTCAGCCTGTTGTAATCTCTTATTTGCAAAAAAGTTAAACCTAAATAGTCTCATGCAATGCGCCCCTCTTCATTGGCTTGTGTGATTACTTTTATACGATGAATGTACTGTACTGGGCAAACGAAATATGGATATCAGGTAGGCAACTACAATGAACGAACGAAGCACATGCTTTTGTTTACAACAACCGCATGTTTGATATGTCTTAATACTTGATCTAATCTACGATGAATGGGTGTATCATAATACGTGCGCATGAGAGATGAAAAATGAATTGCTTCATTTCACGTGATTTCACAATGACTCAACGTCACACGCTCGTGCTGAAAAAAAATGCCCCGCCAATTTAGTGCTACAACAGTGATATAAAACCCCCACCATCCCACATCAATTAATTTCTGTTCCCTTAAGGTGCGTTCCGTCTCCACATCACTTAACACACAGAGTGCGGGAAAGGTTTCTAACAGATCACAGGCATACAATTTCATTTCCAGAAAACGAATATTTACTTGTTGCTCTCATCAATTGATCCAATATTTCGACTTGGACGCGATTGTGACGGATTCTATCATCAAACTATCGAAATAAACAGAATAAACGAACTTCAAGATGGCGACAGTTGTTCTTGGTGCTCAATGGGTACGTGCTTTCTGCGAAGATCTGCGGACATCAAATATTAACGTGCGAGTGTAGGGTGATGAAGGAAAGGTATGGCACATTAGGTTGGGAGGATTCCATATCTGGGAATTTAACTGAGGGTGGATTAGGGGAAACTTGTCGATGTCCTCTGTAGTGAGGAATTGAGATTGTGCTGTCGTGCACAGGTGAGTCTACCTCTTAGGTTCCTGGCGAATCCTCAAGAAATATGTGTCTAATATTCGATGAAATATAGGGCGGAAACAACGCAGGGTAAATTGATGCGATGAAAGAAACTGACGAATCATCTAACTTACAATGACAGACATACAATTGTGGCCAATGGAGTGACATAGTGAGTATCCGTGAGAAGCGACTTTCAAAGTTCAAAATAATTTCGGACATTCGACTGATACAATATCGAACAGCGACTTTCACATTTTACCTAGTGGTCTCCTCAACCCCGACTGCCAGAACTTGGTAGGAAGTGGATGCGTAGTCCACATTCCTGGCCTTCTCAAAGAACTCGCCGCCATTGATGGCAAGATTCCAGTTCCAGCAGGCAAGAAGCCTCCTAGAGAGAGATTATTGATCAGTGATCGATGCCAGTAGGTTTTGCAGTTTCCGGTATAACTGAGCATATCTGACAACGAGCTACAGTGTCGTTCTCGATCTCCATCAGAAATTGGATGGACTCGAAGAAGCCGAACTTGGAGGTGGTAAAATAGGTACTACCGGAAAAGGTAATTTACTCTTCGGCTCATTTAGAAACCCCCCTTTTCTAACGAGCTAAAGGTATCGGCCCATGTTATTCAACAAAAATGGCCAGAAGCGGTGTCAGAGTTGCTGATATCTTCCGGGAGAGTTATTTCGAGGAGAAGGTTCGAAGCATGGCGGCTGGCGCCAAGAAGAGATTTGGGGACTTGTTGCAGTATGATGTCGAGGAGGAACTTGCTAGATTCAAGGTAAATTTGGTGATTCTGATTAGGTTCTTTTTTAACACTTCCTAGACCTACAGGGCTGAATTGGCAGATATGGTCGTTGACCAACTCCCCCTCCTCATCGATGCACAGAAATCTGACGCACCCATGCTGATCGAGGGCGCAAATGCTATTATGTTGGACATCGATGCCGGTACATATCCATTCGTCACGAGCTCAAACACAGGTCTCGGTGGTATTTTCACCGGTCTCAGTGGTTTGAACCCAAGAAAGGTCAAGAACATTTACGGAGTGGTCAAAGCCTATACTACACGTGTGGGCGGTGGCCCATTCCCAACAGAAGATCTAGGAGAGGTCGGTACAACATTGCAAGAAGTTGGCAGAGAGTTTGGTGTGACGACTGGTCGTCGAAGAAGATGTGGATGGTTGGATCTTGTGGTTGTCAAATACTCGACGGCTATCAACAGTTACACCGCCATCAACCTCACAAAACTTGACATTCTTGATTCTTTCAAAGAAATCAAGGTTGCCGTCTCATACCGCGATCCCGCAACTGGCGAAACATTAGAATCATTCCCTGCTGATCTCGAGAGACTGGAGACACTCGAACCACAGTATGTCACATTACCAGGTTGGAATCAACCTACTACTGGTTGCCGTAGCTACTATGATCTTCCGCCTGCGTGTCGCAAATACTGCGAGTTCATTGAGAAAGAAGTTGGCGTTCCAATCAAATTCATTGGAGTTGGTGAGTGTTTTCTTCAACCATCTTTTAATCATACTGGATCACTAATTTAAAAATAATAGGTCCATCGAGAGATGATATGATCACAAAATAGATCACAGGTTTTGTTTTCTACCTTTTATGAGTACCATTGTATGTTCCTAAAGATAAAAATTAGATCTTGGTAGCAATAGATAGACACTGCAATTTAGTTTCAATTTCAATTTATCCATTCATTGGACCTCCGCGCATCGTGATCTACGTGCGAAGCTCCCGGCGCTTACTTCCAGCAAAATGCAATGGATAGTACATTTCGGTCATTGATACACATCTCTCACCCCTTTCAAAGGCCTTCATTATTCAGGTAAAATGGACGCTTGATCGGAATTTCATTGGGTTTTCGTTTTGTTGCTTGTAGGGAGCCAAACTGCCTTCCTTGGTAACAATAGTCGGATCGACTCAAACAACGGAGCTCCTATCTTTTCACATTTAGACTGTCCCTGTTGGCCCGTGTATAGATTCGAATGCAAGAATGTCAAGAATAGGTTTCTATTATTGAAGATTATCAAGCATGTTCTGCTAGTCCAGACAAATTGATACCTATTTGAGGCATTCTGAATCAATCAACATATCTGACAGCAATTTTGGTCCCATTCTTACTTTCCACGGTCATGGTAACGCGTTCAAGGTATTCAAAAACCTCGTCCCTATTCTCGATGAATTCGATTTGCTGTGCAAGCCTAACTAAAAGATATGACAATTGAATCAGAATCTGGTTCTGGGCAGGGCACATTCTGATGCCTCCTAAAAATGGCTCGTATTGCCATTTCGCTTCCCAGAGCGGCCGGTTTACATCTAACCATCGATCTGGCTTAAATTCATCTGCATCGGCTCCCCATATTGCTGGGTCTCGTTGTAATGTGTATAAATTTAGCCCAACCACAGTATCCTTGGGTACGAATATTGGGATTAACCATCTTCTCCACCACCTTTTGGTAGGATTGTATCTTTTAGAGATATTTTACCAAGTCTCGAGGCACCTGGATGTAAGCGTAAGGACTCGTTAATTATAGCCTTAGTTACTCTCAACGAGCGAAGAAACTCAAACGTCAATGCCTGGCTCGGATCGATACTACCAACCTCCATCTTCAATTTCTTCCATTCCCCGGGGTGACGAGCAAGTTCGAATATAACATCAGCAAAAACAATAGCAGCTGTATCTCGAGCCGGAAAATATACGTTAATGATATGCATGCGGAGATCATACGGATCTTGTGTTATCTTGGTCATTTTTTCCAGGAGGACATATCTTTTGGGCCCCGTTTCTTTTTTCAGGTTTCGCTGTTTCTCCAAGGCTGATGATACACGTTTGTCAATGAATGCATGGACATTGGTATATGCTTCTTTCCACCAAGGATCGAAGTACAGTGGCCATCGAATAGGTTTGAATATGAGAAGTAATGCTAGGCCCAATAGAGCACGATGGAAAGATTTCATAAATATATCTGTCTCAATGGGTGTGTATCTTCGGCGAGACATTCTGTTAATTTTCCGAACAGGAACTCGGTCGATGTGTCAAGCAATTATGAGAATATTAGTCAATGAGGTCCATGCAAGAGTTTGCCCTTTGCATCACTAACCAATTTTTTTCACAAGAGGAAGCATGTCAAAGGTCGAACCATGACTCCCGAGATATGTTATCTCGCTGATAGCTGCAGTTCTTCTGTAGTCATTTTTGCAGGATGTATTTTAGCTTTCCTAACACTTATTAGATAGATCTTAATAAATATCGCATCTGCGAAGTGACTTGCAAGTTTCACGAATTCCCTCGGTAAGTCTGGACAGACTTCTATCACATATCACATAGACTGACAACTGATCTCAAAAATCGAAGAATGGCTATCCAATACTAGATAGATGTAAAGGAACAGAGACTAAACATAATGATGTAGCGTAGTTCATTTTTAGTCGCCAGTCTACTACTCTTTGGCGTTCACCCTTTTCTCAGCTTACTTGTTATGGACCAGGTGATTCCAGTCTTCACTCGACCGAGGGTTTTTCTACGCATACTATTTCTACTCCCGCGTTTTTGGGGAAATCCCTTCCTGGAGATATCTCCGACTTGTCCAAATAAGTCGATAGTTGATATGCGGGGTAAATTTAGACTTGTACTACGTGAAAGTGCCGGGAGAGATAGGAGAAGCGTCGAGAATATGAAGTACTATTGGTTTTAATTCTGTTAGCTTTTCGTTTCCCCAGCTGCGATCCACACATGTCTCGTTCTCCAGGTTGGATGTTTGGTATTTCGCGGTTATAATGTGCCAAAACATCTAAGGCTCACTTTTTCTCCAATCTTTTTGTACTTGTAGTACAACATATCCCTTTCTTATCATTGTGTGACCAAAACATAATACCGCGGCTTCAGAATATTCCCCCTCATCAGCCCTTCTCCTCATAGCAAGCCCATTCAATTCACCAGACAATACTTGAGCCCAATCGAACGGTTCAGCTCCCTGATTGAAGATAGTTTAATATGAACCAACCTATAAATCAAGCTTATTCCTCTTTCCCCAGACTTTATATGCAGCCAAGGATACCAAGATCTCGCTATTGTAAATGGGTAATTTCCGTGCGCTGTGCTGGCGAGAAGAAACCCGAGGTTACACATTTGTATTGATAGGTATAACTGATAGGTATATATGGACTTAACTATCTCATCTCATCTTATTAGTACATTAGCCATTCACAATCTGACATCCATTCACTCTTCCATCTACCACTACCCCGCTCTCTTATTTCTACAACGAAGTTTTTCAATTCCCATGTCTTTTCTTCCTGTACAATCAACACTCACTTAAAACCCAATTCTAATACACTGGATTGATCACCATGAGTAAATCATCCGTTACACCTCCATCTGATAGTTTCGACGCCATGGAGTCCGAGAAAGTCGAGCACATCGCGACACATGACAAAGTGCCCGGCCATAGCAACTACTACGAGAAAGACGGGCTTCGAACATATGGTGACGGTGAAGACCATGATCATGAACCTGAAGTATGTTTTGTTCCTGAGAGGATGTATATCAATTGTCTGACAGCGTCTAGATGTCGATGCGACGCTTTATGAGTCTAGTCGCAATGGCATTTTTGTGGACCGGGTCACAGATTCCTGTGTATATTTTCGGTAAGGTCTATGTGTGTTGTTAAGAGTGTATGTAAGAGCTAAAATTATGCGTCTAGGAGCCATTCCACCTTACATTTATTCTGATATTGGAGGCGTTGATCGGTGAGTACTTTGAATACTAGATCAAAGTATCCGTAGTACCTGTTTACAAGAAGCCTAACGAAATATAGGTGGATATGGTTTGTCCTTGCAAACCTCCTTGCCTTGGCGGGAGTGTGCCCATTTGTTGGAAGTCTTTCTGATATCCTCGGCCGTCGTTATGTTGCACTTTTGGGTGCTCTTTTCATTGTCGTCGGTATGATCGTTTGTTCAACGGCTCATACTATGAATGTATTCATTGGTAAGTTCTAAAATTTCTTGAAGAAAACGTCTTGCCCTTGAGCTAACATCGAGTCTAAGGGGGGATGGCAATTGCGGGCATTGGAGCGGGCATTAATGAGTAATTCTTTCAGAATATTTGTTCCTGGTAACCAAAGGGCGATTAGAAAGCATAAACTTACAGTAATCAGACTCACTGCTTTAGCAGCCACGGCCGAATTAGCACCTACCTCGAAACGTGGAAAATATGTAGCCATTCTTGTCTTCACCATCCTCCCATTCTGTCCATCTGTAATGTGGGCCCAGCTCATAGCGTCGCATGGCGGATGGCGTTGGTGTGGATTGCTATGCGGAGTATGGGCGTTCATCGGCTTCGTCTTGACTCTCGTTTTTTATTTCCCTCCTCCTCGAGTCAACTCGATAGGGTTATCCAATCGAGAAATTATACAACAGATTGATTTTGTGGGTGGTTTTTTGAGTGTAGCAGGAATGATTCTATTCATGGCTGGTATGCAATGGGGTGGCTATCAATACGACTGGAATTCAGCGCATGTTCTGGTACCTTTAATCTTGGGGGCCGTCTTGCTGATTATTTTCTGTTGTTGGGAAATATATGGGACGAATTATCCTATGTTTCCATCTCGTCTGAAGCAAGCACCTAGAATTCTGGCTTTGACACTTGTCATAACATTTATATCCGGTGCCAATTTTGTACGTACAAGCTTTCATTTCCCTCCAAAACGCCCTTTGGCTAAAGATACTGACAACTATTAGTTTAGTATCATTATGTTCTGGCCTACTCAGGCTTTCAACGTATATGGACATGATCCTATCGGTGTAGGAGTCAGAGGAATACCCGTTGGCTTCTCAATTTTAGCAGGAGCTTGTATTGTGTTGTGGTTGTTGAGTGTCCTTAAAGGAAGAAACAAAGAATTGATGATTGTGAGCTCAGTGTTCATGACAGCTGGTACGTAATTCTCGAAACTGGGGTAAATTAGAGGGAGATTTCAATTTCATTTCGCTAATGCATGTAATTTAGGATGCGGCGCACTTGCATGCGCAAATAGACACAATCTATCAACACTATGGGCTCTCCTTATAATCGCTGGATTAGGGATAGGCGGTATTGTCGTACCAGCTTCGATAATAACGACGATAATATGCCCCGATGACTTGATCGCAACCGTTTCTGCTCTCACTCTCTCGATCCGAGTAATTGGCGGTAGCATAGGTTATTGTATCTACTACAACGTCTTCGTAAGCAAGTTTGTTCCTGCTGCTACTTTACATATCGGAGGTGTTATGGCTCGACAACTCAATATTACAAACAGAACTCTTATAGGAGAAGCGATTCACTACACATCTTCGTCTCTTCTCCCATTACTCAAAACAATTCCAGGAATTGCAGGGAATGAAACTGCTTATCAGATGGTGGTGGTTGCAGGGCAGGAAGCATATGCCGAAAGTTATGTTTATGTGTACTATGCTAGCACAGCATTTGGAGCTGTGAGCATTCTGGCGGCGTGTTTCCTTGGTGATATTAATGCATATATGGATGACCACGTAGCAGTTATTATGCATTAAAGTCTGAGGTTGAATTTGGCTTTTGGTGGATAGAGTTTGGCCTTTAGAAGTGCATGATCGAGATATACATTTGACCCGTGATAAATACAATCAGATTGCATTCAAAATGAAATGAGTATCCCATAATGATTTTGATTTCAGTCATTACAATTGTATATATTCCAAGTATGGTTTGAATGAGAAGATCGCTACTTGACATCTCGGAGATATATAAAGTATTTACTTCCATATGAATGTTGAGGTTCGAGAGGGCCCTAGCGAACGAGAGGACACTACGAACATATCAAGGCGTGAATGTTTTCGGGAAGAATGTGCGGCCCTAGATTTGGAATTGCAAGCTCTGGCTCTTTCCTTGTTCCTCCCCACTTCGCAATAGCTTTTCCAAAATTTCCAAGTCAGCAAGGGCTTCTTGAGGAGATTGCCTAGAATTGGGCTTCCCGTCCACGATACTCTGAGCCCAAGCAGCAACTTCCTGCTTCACGCCACTACCCTCTTGTGTAAACTCAACCTCTGTAAAGTTCTTTTCGCTTTCTTCGCCCTTACGCACAATGACTTTACTTCTGATAACAGAAACGCTACCATGCTCACAAGCGACTGTATATTCAGGACCAGAAAGAGTGGTGCCGAAGGAGACGCTGAATGTGCCTGATATTCCCGACTTCGTGAGCCATATTGAATTGATCGTATCAACAGGTGGTAAATGTTCTTGAAGAAGTGTGCTAAATGCCACGACAGTTGTTGGCTTTGCGTCCTCACCCAAAAGCAACCTGCCGGCCGCCGTGAAATGAACACCCCCATCAAGTAGAAAGCCGCCTTGATAATCTGGCTTCTTGCGCCACTCAGTCTCTGGTGAACCTCTTAGTTTTTACTATAGCATTGCTAAAATGGAAAATGCATACCAAAGTATTTCATTCCTGGCTTGACATTGCCACAAAATTGCATACGAAAGCCCAATACTCTCCCCAACTTCTCTATTTCTTTCCTTGCATGGATGAACGAATCCAAGAATCGGAAATTCTCAGCTACGCCCCATGTAGCTCCACCCTTTACTTTATCACTATTGTAATATTCTAGCAAGCGTTGTGCCTTCTCCAGGTCTCCTGCAATTGGCTTCTCTGACAATACATGCTTGCCCGCTGCGAGAGCTGCTTCAATATATTCGGGTTGAGCGAGAATTGGGAGGGCGATTATGACGGCGTGAACATCGGTACGAAGAAGGAGATCGTAGTATGTATTTCCAACACCCGAATCATCTGAATACAGAGGAACATCGACGTTCAGTGATTGTGCGGATTTGACAGAACGGGAGTAAATAGCTTTGAGGGACAAATGAGGGGTAGCTTGAATAGCTGGCTAAAGCGCGAGATTAGTTAGCTGTAAGGTTACTTAAGACATTGACTGGACTGAGTAAGCTTATACCAGATGCTCAGTCTGAGCAAAAATGCCGGAACCAATGATAGCAACACCGATTGACATGTTGTATATATGTTTTGTATAGAGAAATACCAATTTTTGAACACTTCTTGTGTTGAAGGAGATATTTATCACTCACGTCATTGCGGAGGACTTTGTGCCAAGCAAGCAGGGAATGGCAAGTTGATGATAAAGCGTCAAGCAGAACATAATTTCAATGGATGACTTCATTCGTATTGATTTTTGCCTGAATAGTGAAGAGTCAGAACCAGCAACTATCTGGGCCATATTGATACAACGGCTCACCAGGCTCATGGATGATTGGTAGTAGCGAAGGTGATCGGAAATGGAACCAGATCAGCCACTAGGTGTCTAATAACCAGAGGTTTTTTACAGGCTCTCCTGCCCCATAGTACGATGATCACAACACCAAAAATAACTTACTTTGATAACTATTTCTAGAGTCAAATAGATCGATACTCATCTTTATCAATTGGATTATCATTCATTTGTAGAAAGAGAACTGCTTCCCAAGGTAATTCATTCTTTAAGCCAAAACCTTCATGGCACTACTTCTTTTAATCTCATCTCAAATTTTCAATTCAAATCGGTTGATATGTAGACAGAAAGTCATAGAACTCAGGATTTGGTCTTTCAACTGTTGACCTGGAATAGTATGCGATAGCAAGAATAGTACAGGTATAATTCGGGTGTCAAACTCCCAGAATGATAGCATTTCGGGTTATTATTGTGGAAGATATCTATCTAGGGAGACGAACATCAACCTGTCAACCCAATCTGGAAGTCGAGTACCTCTAGAGACGCCAAAGACCATTGGTATTAACACTGATATTGGCCTAGCGTGTCTAGATGCTACTTGTTACTCCTACTACTTATTAATCAACCCTCCACTTGTTCCGTCTGCAGTCAACCAAATTTCTCATTCGTCCAGCTATGTGTCCACCCACGACAATCCAAATAATCATCCAGCCATCCAAATATCACCATATCCAGTATCGTAATCATCAAAAGAAGAAGAAGAGGGTATCCATCGTATAATGCAAAGATCAGAACTCCAATCCAAACACCAGTATAAACGTCCTTCGTTGCACTTCTCCCGCCAGATGATCTAATACAAGGCAAATTATGCAAGAGTTCCTGCAAATTCCTAATGTTATTAGCTCTTCTGTCAGAACGAAAACCACGGATGAATCTTACCAGAACGTACATCGACTGGATAGCCACTTGTACGGCGATTCCGCAATGCAGTTGAACACATATTTCGCACAATATGCACGAGAATATCCCCCTCAAGTCTGGGTTTACTCATTCCTAAATTGCGCCTGGAGATCGCCAATCTTTTGTCTGCGAGTGGCGGTGATGTCTTGAATCTCGCTTGTACTTCCATAAATACAGGAAATGAACACTCTGTCGGTGACAAGATCTGGTTCCGAGTGAACAGGACTATCTTCTTGACCCCAAGAAAAGCGAATGATTTGACCACGAGTGATTCCAAGAGCTTTTTCCTCCGCAAGCGCGTTGGCCGTCTCCTTTCTCTTTCCGACGTGTTGTTTCATTCCCTGTGTGACCACCTCTGTCTCTTTAAGAACGAGAGTTGTAGGTCCCAATAAGGTAGTCGCGTATCTGCAATGTAAGGTGTGATTTGCGTTGGTACATTCTATCATGCGACCGTCTCTGTGCCAGCGAGGGATAACGAATTCGTCTGACTTCTGCGTCACTCTTACTACAAACCATACAGCTTCTGGGTCGACCTGACAGTCACTTTTGGAGTCCTGCATGGTAAGGGCAAGGAACTTAGCAAGTGTTTTCTTGACAGACCATCGGAAAACGCTGCTGTTGTCAGATATAAACTTTGTAGCTTCCGCTACAATGACTTCTGGGGAAGTAATGCCATAATAATGGTAATTCTCGCCTTTGCAGCGAACGCCCTTGATTCTCGGTGTTTTGAGGAGGGGAACGAGTATTATGAAATTGGCAGGGCGCGCGACTTGAGTTTCGTTCTATATAAATATTTAAAATCAGCAAAGGTGAGATTTTAAGGCGTATATCACACCAGATGGTTCTGAAGCTCTATTAAAAACTTACATCAGACTCTGCATCTTGTTTAGCACTTCCAACAGGCTCAAGTAAGAGTGCGTCGACGCCGACTGGAGGAGACGAGTCTTGAAGCTCTTTCTATATCTTGAGATCAGCAAAAGTGATTTTTATCTTATCGGTGTTACTCCAGTGGATCAATTTCTCTTTCCAAGGACCTACCTTGACTTTAATGGTTCCGATCAAGCGCGTACGAAAGTCGAATTGGAGATAGGATGGCGCATGTTCTTGCTGTATGTATTTAGGATCAGCAGTAATTATTACCATGCCAACAGTGCGCCAGGCGATTGGAGTGCGCTTTGATAAACTTACCTCTTCTGGGAGAATTTCCTTCTTGTCTGTCGCCTCTGCTTGGTATATATCTTCATGTGGAGATATGGCACTGGCAAGACTGGTCGCGGTGGGGTTCTCAGAAACAATTGTCATTGCAAGAGATGTGGGTTGTAAAGTGATAGGCAAGGAAGAGCAAATTGTAACGGATTCAATTTGATCGAGAAATTGATTTTCCCTCAAAGGAAAGCAGTGCATGGCAAAGAAAGCCATTGCGATTGTTGTTGTTGAATTGTGTTGGTCTTCTTCAAGTGATTTCTTGAGCAAAGTTCTTTAACTGCCAAAAGATATCCTAGATTCAATAAAAACAAACAAACAAGAGATGAAAAAGCATGACTTGGACTCAACTGCTTAGTCGACTTGCTTAGTCGGCTGAACGACTAAGCAGGTGAAAAAGTTGATGGAGCATGCTCAAAGCTGTTCACTATCACAGTATGGAATCATTTGGTTATAGATAGTCAGGCATATTGCTATACTATGTAACAGTCATAGGTTATGGCTCGGTAAGTAAAAGTTCAAGAGTAGATGAGATCCGTAATTCTGAGGATCAAGTTTTATTTATATGTACAAATGAGGGGGGGAGGCACACTAAAGTGGTTTAGTTGTGATTTCAATGGCCACCTTGGTTTCAGACCTTCTTCACTGCTTATTCCACTTTGGCACTTCGGTATTTACTATTGTGAATTCTAGGTGAGTACTCACGCCTCATTCCCTCTTGCCCAACCACTGTCATCTCCTCTTACCTCCGACTTTCCTTCAGCTCTACATCTTGGTCTACTTCAGATCCTTCAACTTTTTTTGAGGAACAGGGGCTTGTTGTGAGGCTTGTTTGAGGACGAAGAGGTAACCCTCAGAAGTTCTCTCTTTTCGTTCTCCGCGGAGTTGATCAGTAGAAGGGGGAGGGGAGTGATTTAGGAGACAATGATATGAGGATAAGGAAATTAAAACAGTATCTAATTATCTCTTAGCCTACATACTTGCCTCTATATAGTTGATCTTGTTTTCATCTCTGATGATCTCACCGAGAAACTTATATAACAAAGACATAGAAGCTGGTCCCTGGTGGTTGCTTTCCTTTACCAATACGAAAACTGAACTATGAACTTCAATTGATGTAGAAATAATAGTAAAACAAGCCTTAAAGGTGATGAAGGCTGTTGAAAAATATAAGATGTTTGGATATTACATAATTATACAAGCGAATCAGTCTCAAATGGCTTTCACCATCTTTCTTCTATCAAACTGTTTATCGCTGCACTGGAATACTGGTGAGATTACTGTGCCAGATTCAATACCTTCTTCTCCATCTTGTTGCTCTCAGCTTTCCTTTATCATAACACGAACTTTGCTACCCATAGCTGATTTTTCCATGTAACCATGAAGCAATGACATTATTCCAAGAGCTGAGGTCTCAAGAAGGATTGAAAGGAACCACAAACATCGTATAGAGGGCAGGAAAAAAGATACAGAAAACAAAGGGAGGAATAGGATAACAGAATATTGAGCAAGCTAACTGCAGAGCTCGGAGAATATGAACGAGATGAGTGTAAAATAGTCTCGAATTGATGCTCAAGACTTCAAAAGAATGGTCACTTCTAGGACAGCTTTTATCTGATGTAGAACGGGACTAACACCAAATAGACCGTTCGTAAGAACTCGAAATCTCAGAATGGTGCATGTTCCAGTCATTGTAGGAGTTGAGGCTCTCGCGCTACAGGAAGCATGGAATTGAACATTCATCTACTGAACCAGGCAAAGGGCAAATTGACAATTATAGCTGTCTCTAGGCTTCTATCATCCCGTCACTTCCATCATTTTCATGGACTTCATATGCGATAAAAAAGATATACTTATCCTGAAGAGTAAATGACAAAAAGCGCGATTAAAAGCGCGACTAAAAGGAGAGGGGGAAAGATCGGAGAAGATCAGAAGAGGAGAAAAGCGGTAGAAAGTTGCGATCGAAATCAACGGGGAGGAAAAGTTGCATACATTGGTTGCAGAAGTACAGTAGAACCCGCTTGTTCAAATTGATTTATTTCCGGTGAGTATCTGTCTGTGATTCTGCATCAAGGGGGGTAGCTCATTTTATCTTCGCTTCGATTCTTTCCCTTCATAAATGGATGATCAGTAGCAAGTATTAAGAATGAGAGTGAGAGTACGGAAGAGAAAATTCTCGGCCTTTGGAGGAGAGACGACCAGCCCTGGTTCATGAATGTCAAACGTACTTTTGTCTACTCGTGGCTCTGTCTTGCGAATGAAAATTAGAGAACTCGAGCTTGAAATGAAGCACAAAAGAGATCAAAACGATATGATTAAGCAAATTCAGACTTGATGTAGATCCTACTATGCTGTCAGATGACATCCCCAAACGAAAAAGATTGTGACTTTCTCAAGTCCCTGAAACGATGAAATTGAGGCACGGACTGACTTTAGTTCAAGTTCTTGCAACTTTTGGCTCTTACCAAATGGTTGTTCAGCGTTAAATTGATTTAAAAATTACATATGATGTTTTTGAACCTTCGAATAAAGGATAGCTGGGTACCTTGTACCGATCACGCAAACTTAGAGTTTAACCTTATGTAAGCGAGTCGGAACGTGAGGCGAACCCGAGATCTTCTGTGTTCCCTTCACTTCATCACATGCGAACCGTGCTATGTGAGTTCGGTCATCACTGCTTTTGTGAGGAAGTTGTAACCTTAAATGGCTGGCTGACTTGTAACTTTATCCTGACATTGCGCATGTCTGAATATAAGGAATAATAGTCGCGTAACATACGGAACAATTCGAGACGTCGATCTTTGGATAACATATATGCGATGCAACATATAAAAGGATCTGGTTCCTTGGAATATGCGCTAACCCCGCACTGGCAGATGGTAAGATGTTGTATCCCAGGACCTTACCACGGGCAGATTGCCAAGCCCACAATTGGTCAATTTCAACGCCAACTTCCATCAGGGGGTAAATTTCCGATAGCAGAACACTTATCGGGGCAGCCGTCACTACCTTACTAGTTATTTCATTGCAGGGTTTCTTCAAGGTGTGTGTTTACAGACAAAGTCTGTACGACACACACTGAGTGTTTGGTCGAAATGACTCGGCCCGATGATCTACCAAAGGAGACGACAAACTATCCACGACCTGTGTGGGGGATCGTATGCGAATGTGTGCTACTTTGGACATCCATAGCATCGATGTTATAAAGGTAGTGAATTTCTCTCCAGTTTGGATCTTCATACTCCTCTCAACAAGCAAGGATAATCTCCACAACATGCGTCTCACACTTTTCTATATCGGGATGTGCGTGTCAGTCACCGCTGCACAAGTCTGTAATGGTTATGCCGAGCTCTGTGATCGTAAATGGTCAGAAATATCCCAAATAGGAACACACGATAGCGCATTCGTGGGAGATTTACCAGCAGAAAACCAGAATCTCGATGTCACCGCTCAACTGAATGCTGGTGTTCGATTTCTTCAAGCCCAGACTCATTATTTCCTCGATACATTGACGTTATGTCATACTTCCTGCTTTTTACTGGGTCAGTTCTAAATACAGTTCATTTTCCCGATCTTAGCCTCTTGCTTTCAACTCCTTCGGATAGGATACTTTTGGAATCCAATTGCATTTTTGATCTTGTACCTTCTTTTTAAGCATTTTCTTGAGAAATAACTAATAAGCGCTATTCTGGATGCAGATGCTGGGCCAGCTGTCTATTATCTAGAGGATATCAAGAAATGGCTTGATGCGAACCCTAATGAAGTCGTAACCTTACTACTTACGAATGGAGATTATATTCCTGTCGGAAATTTCAGTTCAGCAATGGAAGTGTCTGGTCTGGCAAAATATGCATATACACCACCGCATCAGTTAGCCATAAATGAATGGCCTACACTTCAAGAACTGATCACGGCTGGCGATAGACTTGTGATGTTCCTCGGTGAGTAGCCACCCCTGCCCTTTTATTACAACTGAAAACTGATCTAAAAATATTGAAGACTACGACGCGGATACGAATGTAGCTCCATACATTCTACCCGAGTTTTCTTACTTTTTCGAAACTGCGTATGATGTAACTACTCCTACATTCCCAACATGTACACTCGATCGTCCTCCAGGATCGAATGGAGATGGACTTTTGCCGTTGATAAACCATTACTTGGATATTGATGTCTTCGGTATCCTCATGCCAAATAGACTGGAAGCCAAAAAGACGGTAACAACTTTTTGCAAACTACCACGATGCCCAATTACTGACTTGAATGTAGAATGCGGCAACAGGCATAGGTAGTATTGGAGCCCAAGCCGACCTCTGTACCTCAAATTGGGGTCGAAAACCGCGAGTAATGCTCCTGGATTTCTTCGACGTTGGTAAGAGTCCCCATGCGTCCACTTAAAATCACAATACTAACACAAGCCTAGGAAATGCAATAGAAGCACAAAATACATTGAATGGCTTGTAAGAAGGACTTTTAAATGCATCTCATGTTTATTAAAAGTAGTATAGGAACGAGAGCCAGAATCATGAGTCTCAGTCGTTGAAATACTGCCATGCTTCTTGATCATACGACCAAAACGTGCAAATATGTTATTAACTCGCTCCATATAGGCCAGTAGAAAATTCCGCCAGTTCGAAACACACATTTCCTTCTAAATATACACTACTTTTCCTTACTATCGGCGCCATTTTGTTTTTATATTAACGGTACTCTTATTTTTACTGGAGCTTCGAAGATTTCATTGCTGGCCGAGGAACGATTGAAAGGCGTTTGGGCTAGAACGAGGAGGGTCACAGAAGGAGTGCTGGAGTTGAAGGTCACTTTATCCCCAAGTTGGCATGCTATCATTTCTGTTTTGAGTTTATCAGTCTAGAATTTTGGCAGCGCGAATTAGATTTAGACTTCTGTTTTGTATAATTTACGATTATCATTGTCTAGATATTGAGGGGCATAGAAGGTTAGAATAGGCGTCAAGATTTAGACGCCGCGATTAATACCATTGTATACACCTTAGTCAAGTTCAAATATATACTATCAGTTCTTTTCTGGATCAACACGATAAATTTCTTAGGTTCATTCATGCTCTGCCTTTCAATGGGAAACTTGACTCCGAACACACAATCTGTGGACAAGAATCAATTCATATGATCAAGCTATTCTTCAAAAGCCGATGCATGCTGTACGGGAGAGATTAATCTTTCAATTTGTCTGCTGATAAGAAAATAATCTCCATCACATAACGCTATCTTGATATTTGGTACAGAAAGGGGGAAAATGATAACAGGTGAATTTCAGTGAGAAAGGAGAAGATTTTAGCGAGAACATGCCCCAGATCACTTCCAGAGCGCTCATACATTGAGGAGACTGTGTGAATAAAGTGAATGACTTCAATTCAATTACTATTGTAATAAGACTATTATGACAAAGTCTTAAGTGAATAAAGAAGAGATTAGCTCTTTTAGTAGGTCTATATAAGGTCTACTATTTTCTGTATATAGCTAGCTTTTAAAACAAAATACAATTAGACAATTAGGATCTATATATCGTGGGTGCTACGTCTTCCGTATCCTTCTCGTACAAACAGAGACCTCTTTGTAATCTAGCTTCCTTTGACGGATTTTTCAGTCTTTACCTTATAGTACATACATATTTACATATGCGCCTAGTCTAACATGATGAGATCAGGTAGAAAAATATCTTCAAATCTTGTGTATTTAATTGATTTGATTTTTCCAACTTTCCAGTATTGAGATATGAGATATGAGATGTGAAATGTATAGTAGGGGAGGAATGATATTAGTGAGAAATTTGAGAGGAAAATGAAGACTATTATTCGAGAAGAACCTCTGGGTAAAGATATACTTCAAGAAATATAGTTAATTTTCACATCAATAAGAGTAGAAAGAATGAGTAAAATGCGAAAATTGTGCGTCAGTTATGCATCATACCCCAATCATATCACACCGCAAATTTTTTCCATCAAAAGTAAATCAAAACCCCGGATACGGAATTTGAAGAAATGATAGATGGAAATTATGCGATATCGAGTGCGAAAAGTAAGACCTGTGATGAATGGAGAGTCACGAATGAGAATTCATCATACAATGATTTCTGTCTACTTGTGTAGGTCCATTACTGGTACTTGGGATATGAAGAGAAAAGGAGCCTTATTTGAAGAAAGGACAATCCGTTTTTCGTGGAGAAGAGAAGGGAAGAGGAGGGAATAATATCTCTGATCATCTTTTACAGTTGTTTATATGCCAAGAATCCTTAAGATTCTCATGAATGTTACCGAAAAGGTAGTGAGATGAATAATAATACATTTCTGATTTTCCATACCTACATAGAAACCGCACATCAGAAACACAGATAACCTATACAATCCTAACAGACACACACACAGAGCAACACTTTCACAAACCAAAATAATCTCATCAGATACGCAGCAAAACATCTCGGATATAGAATATCTACTCTTCCAAACTCCAAGTTACTCATTCTCCAAGCGATAATTTTTTTATATCTTTCACCTCTCGATACACAAGAGCATTCTTCGCTCTACATCATCTCAGCTCAACTCAACTCATCTCATGCCTGGAATATCCTCGGTAATACAGCCCAATACATACATATACATACATACATACATACATACACTTCCATCACCCACTCACCCTACAAGCCTACCCTACCTACCCATCCACCACTCCAAGCAAACCCCTATTTCTTATTTCTTATTTCTTATTCCATATTCCTTATCCCTTACTCCTCATATCCTATATCCCATATCCCATATCCCATTCCATTCCATTCCATCTGCAGGTACCACCACGCACCCGAGTCATGGCCACACCCACCCCAATCAAAAAACCCGTGTGCTATGTTCCTCCAATCCTATCCACAACCCACGGTCCCAGCGTTCCTGTACTAAACCACATCTTAGCTCGCATCTAACAAAATAAACTTAAAAACCCGCTCCCTCTAGCCCGCGCACCAACAAATTGGTCCCCGCCGAGCCCGCTTGGCACATTCTCGATTTACTTTTTGTGAAAGGAACTTTCCACGTCAAGTGGTGAAGTGCCGATGCGAAGGGTAGGTACCCTAGGTACCCCTAAGGATCTACATAGAGATTTTCAAGCTTGCGAGATTTTTTGACGTGATACGATTTGAGTTTATCTCACAGTTATGTATTGAGGAGATTTGATTCGTTGTGATTGAATTTAATTTGATTCGATTGATATCATTATGTCTTAAGCTAAATATTGCTGAAGTGATTGAACAACAATAATGCATCGTTCATTAGTAAAGTATTTTGATAATAGGTCCAGCAACCCAGCTTTTTTCTTCTCCTCTCTCCCCTCTCCCCTACCAAGCAAAGTTGTGTAAAGAATCGAAAGACATTATTTATCTTGATATATCCATAATCCCCAACCCCCATCTCAATGATCCCATTCCAGTCTAATTACATGTAGAATTTTGTCGTATCGTGATATCTCATGCGAGCCAGAATGCTTACAAAGCGAAAGCGGCCAAGAAACCAGCTCCAACAATAGCTCCGGCAGCATTGACTCTGCTTCCTGCTGCAGTAGAAACCGTGGCGGGAGCAGAAGAAGCAGAAGAAGCGGCAGAAGAGAGAGCAGAGGAAGCGGATGATAGAACTGAAGATACGCTTGAAGAAGCTGCGCTAGTGGCGCTAGCAATAGAGCTACCTGCGGAGGAAATGTTGCTGACTGCAGATGAAGAAGCTGAATCGGTTGAAGATGAAGATGATGCTTGGGTGGAAGAGGCGGCGGCTGAGGAGCCTGATGAACCGGCAGCTGCTTGGAGAACACAGATTTCGGTTGTGATTTTTTGAGTGGCTGTTAAATTTGTTAGGATATGCTATGATTGTATGAAAAATTTGAAGACTTACTCAAAGTATCAGAGGCAGAGCATCCAGCTGCGATACATGGAGTGGCAGCTTTGGTGATAGCATCTTTAGCATCACCGCATTGGCATGCAAAATCGGTAATACTACATCCAGCACCACTGGAAGCTGTTGACAAGCAGGCAAGGGCACAAGATGGGAGTTGTGCCACTTCACTAGCGATGCTCTGGGAGTAAGCCACTGAGGCAAGGAGGGCAGAAACGGCAGCGAATGTGAATTGCATGTTTGCGTTGATGATTGCTTTCGAAACAAGAAATGTGTTATTGAAGAAAAGTGGTATGGAGATAAAGATTGAAGTTTCTTAATGTGCAATGTAACTTTGCTGTAGAAGCAAAAGAGAAGGGGACCAGCTTTATCTTATAGGTTCAACGAGGGTATGTAATTACCTGCAGATGGTTACTTTTTAGTGTTGTAGTCCGAGCGGAGTTCTGTGCACAAATGGCATCGATGAGCACTTACTCGGGAACCAGTAATCTGAGTGATTTTATTGATCTTCCTCGGACTCAATACAGAAAAGAGGTCTAACACCGTTGATACGTCGGGTGGCGGAAAGCTATTCCCTGCAGCAAAATTTGCCGTGCCTAAGAGGTACTAAGTAGTAAGTACTCGAGTAATAAGTTGTAAATTGTAAATTGTAACATGCAATCCAGTCTTCAAATGGCATCTGGTAGCGTGATAGATCTTTTTGGACATACATTTCATTCCACGCGATTGATAAGAATTTGACTATTAAACGAATTAGGCAAATAGCAATGCATCTACTTACTACCTACCTAGTAATTGCAACTTTGCATCTCCTTGGGTAGACATACTTGTTCTACTCTTTCTCCAGCCTTTTCCTTTTCCTTTTCCTTTATCAATTTCAATTACCTTAATATATCGACAGTTGTGTAATGTGTGCTTTAATCATCGGAGAACACTACCCCAATTATTACCCCGGACAGGCTGGAACCCCAGAAAAAGGAATTACGGTAAAAAGGGAACTAGGTTCTCATATCAGAGATAGCATCATAAACCAGTAGATCATCCGAAAGAGACAAAATAATCCTTGACCAATAAAGCAAGCATGACCGTTCAACCCTTGATATTTGTCTAACCCTTGCTTCCCGATAAAAACATTATCCCCATTGATCGTTGAATTGCGAGTCATCTCGACTTGCCCCAATCAGAACTTGGCTAAATGGTTTGCTCAACTGCAAAAAGAATAATCCACCAGGGATTACTCGCACGCACCTGGATCTGACCAGGTATCAAATGCAAATACATTGCACATGAAATATTCTGCATGCCGAGGTGGACATACATACTTATCAGCCTTGCTTGAAAACGTTAGAATTTGGATAAATCGCTGCATTAGATTGGTGCGTTGTTGAATTGATGCATGAGGGGAAATGAAAGTAACCACGGGAAAAGAATATACTCGCAAAAGAAAGATATTTCCTTGGAAAGAACCCTGGGTCGAAGAGATAATCGAGATGATTAATATATTGATGTCAAAAAACAAAGTCTGATGAATTACAAAAAGATTCCGAGGTGCAATTGAACATGTGGAGGTATCGACGTTTGAGAATCCCGATGGACAAAAACTCTAATTGATAAGTGAGACATGTACAAATTGTCTTTTTGACGTTTGATTGCGGGGTAATTGAAGCCATATCCACCAAGACCTCCACTAAAGCTTCGTGTCTTCACAGTGATGTACGGAGTAGAAGAGAGTGAAAAGACTTTACTTTATTTTGACAACATGCGCACTGAGGGAATAGCTTCTTGTCAGGGATCATTGTCGGAGTAAATTCCAATCTCAGCAATGTGGATACTGGCAGGATTTGTATACGAACTATCTCATGCGTGACTTCTTTGACTCCAATGATGGAAGGAGCATCCGAAGATTGCACACGCTACCAACCGAGATACTTCTTCGCTCAGAGATCCATCGTTCCCGGGAACATTGTCTTGGTCTGAAAGATCGTGTTCCCACACCAATTCCCCAGAAAATCATCTTAACCCTGAGCACGACAGTTAATGGGTACGTCAAGGAACCACGTCGCGTCCTTCCATCAATGGTCAAGTACAGACTTTTTCGTGTAAGATTTGAAAAGCAAGTATCTACTTTGAGCGGTCCTTAATCTCGCCTCGCTCATGTCGACTACTCCACTTAGCCTGGCAAAGTTTCCTGCCGTCAACTCCTCTCCTCTTCCTCCGGCATGGAAAGCGAATCCCTTGAATAACTTCCAGACAATTTGTAACCACATTTCGTCGACAAGCACATCAGGAATTGTTGCCCATGGGGACCAGATGACTGCAGGTCTATTGAATGCATCGTGGGCAATTGATACGAGAAACTGAAGTGACTTGTTGCAATCCAGCCAATGCGGTATGTGTGAAAATAGAAAGGAGAAGGCAATGATGGAGAAAGTACGGTCGACAAAGCGACACGAGCGAAGTGACGATATGGGAAGGTGACTGAGTATATGCTTGAGCAGCTCCGGGGCCAGGCTATCCATCTTCAATGGTATGAGTAGAACAGGAATTCGTAGGAATCTGGGTGGAAATTGCAAGGAGCCATTGTATTATGGATATAGACATTGAATACAGACACCTTGATGGGAAGCAAATGAGGCCAATACTAATGAAGAAAATGGACTTAAGCTCATTGTACTGTAGATCCAACCATTTTTCTTCGCATCAAAAAGTTGTTTTCCCAGTACCCATCAAGGTTTGTAGAATCAAGGTTAGGATTGAGGTCGCAGTAAACCTTCAGCTTCCTGTTGTTCCTCTTCCCACCAGTCCTTGAACGTTGCCAATCTTTTGGTTCTTTCTTCCGCCATTCGTTTGCCTGGAGCTGTCTTCATCATTTCGCCTAGTTTCTCCAGTTTGTCTTCAAAATGCTGAATGGTCTCTCCCATATCCCTCGCACCTTTTGCTCCGCCAAATGTGAATGTTCTTCCAATTCCGATTGCGCCTGCAGTAAAACAACAATTTAGTTTCATCTTCTTATCATTCAATTTCTGGGATGCAGCCTTACCGATAGCATCGAGCCGGTCAGCATCTTGGACTACAGCCAGCTCAGGATATTTCTCGATCATGCCCCTCACTGATGCCATATCCTTGATTTCACTCGAATACGAAACTCCGAGAACGATTCTCTGCACTTTGACGGCCAGCTTTTCGTCGGCCCCAAAACTTAACAGTGTTGATAGCACCAAAGTATTTGGATCCTGTCCGGGCAAGAGATACTTCTTGTCGCCTACATCATGCAAAAGTGCCGCCAGAGTGACAACCTGTAGATCTAAATCCGGGCCGCCTATCCTCTCTGCCTTAAGCTCCTTGTATATCCTATGCGCCAACCCAACAACGCGTCGAATGTGGTTGAAGTCGTGAGATCCATCATATGCGCTCATATATTTCTCGACAAAAGCTGTAACTTGCACAATTAGACCAGCATTTTGTGCCATCTTAGGTTTGGTATTGTTTGGGTTCGGTGTAATTGTGGAAGGTAGATGAGACGATGGACTATGGATAACTGCGGGGCCTTCTGAGTATTCGCGAAATTCAGAATAACGAGACCTTCGTCGCATACCGAGCTTTTGTCGTAAGCGCCCCAAATTCGATCTTTTTATTTCGAACCCTTCGGAAATCAAAGCTTGAGTAATTTGGTCATCATTGAGGTTTGAATTATAATGATAGGTTAAACGATCTTGGAGAGCTTGAGGGATGGGTCCACGATTTCTTTTGCGAATGTTCCATGCTGCCAAACTTCGAGACACTTTACGTTCAGAGACATCTAGACCCAATTCTCGATTGAGCTTTCTTGTAATGTCGATGATAGGAGTATTTTCTTCCGCGAAAAGTTTGACTATAAGATCTTTGTATGGTTCCAAACTCACGCCAGGAGGACGACCAGGTTTTCGAGATGTGGAATTGATTTCTGGGGTACCATTGTGTTGTTCTAGAAGTTCTTCAGGACTTAGAGTTGGAGGCATAATGAGAAGGGTTGATTGAATTTTGACGACAAGGTCTTATGAAAATCAAACCTATTTTGGCGGATGGTGTGATGATTCTTTTTCGGTCACCGTATTATATCTATCACAGGATAATCGAAACCTCTTCTACAATGCAACACACACCCTCGAGATGTCTACACCAAGTACAATAAAGATGAATATTGTCATCGTTGCTCCTTCATGAGAAATACAGCATGTTTCCAACCATTTATCCCCAAGTTCCCAAGGCACACATCGGTCACAAAACAAAAGGTTCCTTGATATGTTCCAAATGTCAATGATTTGCTATCTGCTATCTGCTATTACAAATAACTCAAACTACTAACTTAACCTTACTATTAATTATGACCGGCTTTTGCTGAATACGATGTCGAACTCAAACTTGCCTCGGGATGAAGGGAGCTACTAGGTACTTCCCCGCCCCCGCTCTATCAACAGACCGGTAAATTGGAAGCTCGAGGTATGAAACCTCGTGAACTTGAGATCTTTCTTCACCTACAAAGAGGGTTCAAGACCATAATTACTACTTGAAAATGTCAGACATGCAATCCAAAGTAAACAGCCGGCTCACACAAGTCACTGACTTCTTAACCGGCAACAAGACTGCCACGACTATTCCATTCGACCCTAATTCCACCAAGTTTCCCAATAGAAAGGATGTTCCACGAAGAGAGGATGCACCCGAAGGAGCGTAAGTAGCATGTACGGTTTCCAAAAGCTCAACTAACGTCTAAAAGTGCGTGGGTTTGGGGACCTGATGATTATGTACGTAATTCTAACATTGTAACTTTCAATATCGTTAAACGATTACATAGATAGGGAGATTAAATCTTCTCACACCAGCTCGAGTTACCGCCGCATCCAATGAAATCCAAAGCGGGGAGATCGTTCCATTGAACCTTCCTTTGAACGTACCAGGAGTACCAGCTTTTGGTCGAGAACCATTTGAGCACAGCATCAAAGAACTAGCCCCTGGATTGGCTTATGATGATGTATATTCATTGAATACACAATCAGGTACACAATGGGATGGTTTTAGGCATATTGCACACATGCCCACAGGCAACTTTTACAATGGGACCAAAGAGAAGGATATAATTGGAGCTGAGAAGGATGATAACAAATGTGGAATCCATCATTGGGCTGAGCATGGGATAGCTGGTCGCGGTATCTTGATTGACTACTGGACTTATGCAAAGGAGAACGGAATTGTCTATGGTAATCAATCGCCACCAAATCTGTATCATTTCGTTGTCTGACGCAGATATATAGATCCATTTGACTATCACACTATATCCTACGCTGAATTGCAAGCTGCCGGGAAAGCCCAAGGCATCGATATCCGCCCCGCTTCTCAAGGCGGAAATATTCAAATCGGAGATCTGCTCTTCGTTCGTTCGGGTTTCGTATCTACATACCACAGCAAATCACCAGAAGCACGAAAAGCCGCTGCTCTCAGACCACACGGAATCGGACCTGATGACGGTCAGAGGTGGGCTGGTCTCAAACAAGATGAGGATATGCTTGATTGGCTACATGATTGTTACTTTTCAGCTGTAGCAGGTGATGCGCCTGCTTTTGAGGCTTGGCCATCTCAAGAGCATTATATGTTGCATGAATATATACTTGCCATGTGGGGTATGCCTCTAGGAGAAATGTTTGACTTGGAGAAGTTGGCAAAGACGTGTAGAGAGAAAGGAAGGTGGAGCTTCTTTGTTACTAGTGCTCCGAATCATTGTCAAGGAGGTGTCTCCAGTCATGGAAACGCAATTGCTATATTTTGAGTTTTGGCGCAAGCGAAACTCATCTGTATATCTTCGTCATTCCTTTTTGGGGGGTGTTTCATCACATTGTCATAAATTGCTCAATACATATTTTTATTCTTTCAGTAAATATATTCAATGAATTCTTTACCTCCTGCCCTTGAACCGAATCAGAGCTATCAAATTCAATAACTATCTCATCTAGTAGCCCCAATGATATTCGAAAATTCAAACTGCAAATTTGCCAAGAAAGATCAATCAGCAGAATATTGTGCGCATACCAAGTATATCTTTAAAATGCCAATCATCTTCTAAATCCATCAACAGCTTAGATATCCCCCCTCTCCCCCCAGCAAACGTCCTCGCATCAAAATTTCATCTCCTACCTCCTTGCTCCCCAACTCAACTCCACTCATCTCAATAACTCAGAGCAAATACTCACTAATCATCGTCTACACACACACCAACCTCTCTCCACCTCACACTCACTGTTCAAAGATCCCGATTCAAGTCTCCAAGTATCGATAAATACAATCTACGTATTCGAGATTGCGACTCTCATCCTCATCAATACCACCTCTGTACATTCCCTTTAGCTATCTAGCCTACCTTCTATTCTCTCATCTCTATTTTTGCGGGCGCTGCTTGTCTTATTGGCAACAGACTCTGGAGGACTGAGATTCGCTGTGTTGAAGAAACATTATCTAAAAAGCTTGCGCTGAAGATAATTGATGGTGCGACATATCTTCGAATCTTTTATAGTATGCTCCTCCTCCTCCTTCTTATTCTCCTTCTTATCCTACCCCTATTTTTAGGACACGAATGTAATGGCATTTGCAAGACTAAAGACGTTCAGAAATTGGAGACTACTTAGAGTGTTCACGATTGTGATGTTAGTTTGATGAGAGATGAGACAGTGATGAATGAGAATAGAGAATTGATTGATCAAGTTAATAGGTTGTGAGAAGCTATCGTAATCTTTGCCCGTATGATCACCACCTTTTGCGATTGGAGGCAAATACACATAGATTATTCATATGTAGACAAACTGGACGAGTTGATTCAAGCTATCACTTGCCCTTGGGCAAAATTTGAACACTAATAAAACTATAATCAAGACACCACTGCAAAAATCCATATTCGTGTATTCGTGTATCCCATTCTATCTCCCCATCCAAACTAACAACTAACACCATCCCCGCATCCCATCCCAAACCTTCCGAAACAAAAGAAACTAACCTTCACTCGACTCTGCTTCATCCTCACTCCTCTCCTTCATTTCCTTATTCCAAGTATTTCCCTTCCCCCTCCCTCCCTTCTTCCCCTTAACACCCTTTCCCCTCAATCCAACCGGAACCTCTTTTTTCACCGTTCCATTCTCAAACAATACCCCAATATCTGCTCGTCTCGCAATAACCTTCTTCCACACACTTTTGCTAATAATACCTTCACCATCTCCCTCGCTTAATATCCCCCCATTACCGTTTTTGTACCATTTAATCTCGGGGTGAGATTCAAGAGTTGATTTGAGAGAGATGTAGATGGATACATCAGCATCATCTTTACTAGTGGACGAAGAGGTTCGAGCCTCGGTACCATCAGAGGAGACAAAGATACTAGAAAATGCTAGATGAGCTTGCCCGCCTGCTTTTTTGATACCCCCGGAAGCGAGAATGAGGGGATAGTTTGCGTACGAGGTTTCGTAAACGACGAGGTCGGGTAGATCTGCGGTTGCGGCGCTGAGAAGTTGAAGCGAAATAGAGGATGTATTAGTTAAGGCGTTGGTTGTGGGAGTAGAAGAAGTGTCGAGACGAATGAGGTAGTTGGATGGAGATTCTGACTCGATCACAGATGAGGAAATTGATTTCATGGTGAACCGGGATTTTGCAGAGGGAGACTGAACGATGTTTTGAAGTTCCGAGAGACCGAGATCAAAGGAATTGAGATCATCGAGCTATGAAGCTATTAGATAATTTGATGCTTGGAAAATGACGCATTTGTCGGACAAGCAGATTGAGAGGTCGCAAAAGGACTATATCCCGAGTCATTTGTACTTACAACTTTCTCACAATTGAACCAGCCCTCAGAATCAGCGATAAGCTTCTCTGAATTCTCTCCCTGTTCCAGGTCTTGTTCTACTGAACGCTTGAGAAGCTTGATTAGGGCTCGAGTGACAGTAGAGTCGCGTTCTGCAATAATGCTGTAGCCTCTCTGACGAGTCTTCTTATTGTTGGATATACTTCCTCCATGTTTACCTCTACCATGTCTAGATTGATTGTTGGACATGGGAGAGGGAGCCATGATCTCTCTATCAAGAGCCATGGCTAAAAGTGGTTGCATGATAGCAGCTGTCATTGTGCTGTTTTGAATGAATGACTGAAAAAGAATTGGTATATGTAAGAATTGTAGACACTAGGAAGAACAAAAAGCTGAGAGAATGGTGGTACAACTTTTTGAGGGAAGGAAATACAGTGAGATATAAGAGATGTAGACTCACGGTAACACAGCTTACATGTCCCCAACCAGGGAATATAATTATGATCATGTCGTATTGATTCGCCAAGCACTCAACGTTTCAGTCGCGGGCCATCGGGCCATGGCATCTATCCTCTACATCACTTGTAACGAGTGATATACATTATATGGCGGGGGCGGGACTTGCAATAATCCAAAAACTGATTGAAAGGGTAACCGCGGGGTGGTATATAGCGGTGTGGACCCAATATATGTAACCTCAAAGTGGTTGACCACTCTGAAGGAGACACCCACCCCGCAATAGAATGCACGCAATACCTCATGCGATCATCTGGGTCCAATTGTTCATAAGGCTTGAAGCGGTGTGGATCGCTGGCGTGCACGTGATCTAGCGGCTGCAGCGCAACTCGAGACTCTTTTGCGATAGCGGAACGTATTGCCTTTTAGAAAGTCGATCCTAGACGTGATACTCTCTAGGAAGGATGGAAATCCCGAATATCGAATCCCCGAAATATAATCATAAACTGAAAACACTCACATTCCAAAGACTTTATAATTACATACATATCCATTACAAATATAAATGTTATAAAACGTTTGTTGGATTCGAAGCTTATAGGCTCGTTTATTCTAATTTCAATCCGAAATAATGATTGCCTTGGTTGATTTTGAATATTGAAAAGAGTTTATATGTTCGGTGTCCCGCTAGAGATACTATACGAGGCATACATTTCAGTCACTCCGCGGCACTAGCTCAGCGGAGAAAGAAGTAGCACGTTCTGTTATCTAACTCAGTACTAGTTGTGCCACTTTTGAATGTGAAATCAGAGCGTCTCATCAAGAGACTTCATGTTTGGGAACACTAGTTGATTAAACCCGGATAATGAAGTATAAAACGGGCTGACCACAAGCAAGTCAAAATGTGAATGGTGCTCTAGTAGGGCATTATCTGTATTGATGGATTACAATAGGTGTCCGATATAGCTGCGCAGTTTTATTCACCAATTCTCTGTTGCGGTGTGAAGTGCAGTAGAAAAATAGACTTACTAGCATGAATCTATTAATATTGGAGTAGAGTAAATCCTGTTTCGTGCCCAAACTATTCACACACTGGCAGCTGAACTCCCCGCGCTTTCCGACCTATCCCATTACTTTCAAGGAACTCCCTTTTTTGTAAGTACTCATACAGGTGCACATATGATGATCATACTTATGACCAAAGCTCGCCATATGAATTTCGAAAGCTGTTGAAATGATTCTTAGTAGGCGCACATCCACTCTCGTCTCTTGCGGCCTCCGCTTTGGACATCCATTCTTGCATTTGTGTTATTCGATTGTTATTCTGGTGTGGGTCAGTCCTACTATTCTCAACCAAGTATCAAAGCACCTACCGATGGATGAGTTGAAAACCACTCAGGTGGTGCATTCTTCTCTGCGGCCTGCATCCTCTCCCATACGCCTACTGCTGCGTGAGGATCATAACAGCTCTTTGCCATGACCATCAGTCCAATATGATCAGCTTCTGTTTCCTGGTTTCTTGATGCCGGTAAGTTCATGCCAAATTCAAGTGCGAGAGCTCCTAATATTTCACCTAAACCTCCAGTATATCCTGTGGCATCTAGGAATCGAAATAATATACGCAAGGGCATATAAAATACCGCGGTTTTGCTCATTGTTTCTCCCGAATGATTTGCGATATTATGAGCAATTTCATGACCGAGAATCTGCAAGATTGGTAAGTTAGTGAATGTCAATAAAAGAAAGTTCGGGAGGAAATTATACTGTAGCAAGGCCGTCATCTGTTTTAGCAATCGGCAATATTCCTGTAAAGACAAACACTTTGCCTCCAGGTATAACAAAGGCATTCATTTCTGTGGAAGGTAGGGTAAGCTAATCAATATCTAAAATAAGTATTCGATTCCTATTCACCTTGAGACTCTATCACATTTACTTCCCAATTTACGTTGTCGATGCCACTCGCAGGTATTAGTCGACTCATAACTCTCTGTACCATCTGAGTCCTCTTATCCCAATCGGGAAGAATATGGTTGTGGTACTGTCGCAATATCTGTTCATACATCATCTGCCCTTCTGCTTCCATATCCTGATGACTATATATATTGAACCGCCTTCTTCCCGAAACCGGCACATCCTCGATATTGCTAGCATAAACCAATATACCACTACCAGCTAATAGGACTATGAATGAGTGTAAAGCAGGATGTTTGGTGAAGTTTCTGATATGTTGCTCGGTCAAGAGAGGGCGTGCATTTCGAGCTTCATTAGGATCAAATCTGTAGTATCTCTGCCTGCGGTTTTGGTAGCATCGTGAATGAGGTGGATTGATAGATGGATGTGTCCATCTTGGTAGCTTGTATTGGGTGACAGACAACGGCTGTAAGAGAGGGGTAGTGTTAGGAGAATGTGCGATCGCGTTGCGAAGCGGTAAACCTCGCAAGATAGATCTGGATATCATCTCTCGTCTTTTATCCTATTGAAGAACGACAGCAATAATGGTATGAGGCAGCGAAGTTGAAGAAAATTTGGGTTTGAATGGGCGATGCGAATGTATTCCTTGTGAGCATTACTTGAATTAGGTAGTCACCCCCAGCGTCATTCCAGCTGATAAGGAAAATGATAGCAATTCTGATGTGATGTAACGAACATGTGCATATAGAGAGAGAAGTCAATCAATCATTCCTCAGGCATGAGTTATGTAGACTCCAGACTTGACGTTCTCGACGTTGTCTGAGATATGCGCCATTCCGTAGGTAGGTATTTCATAGACAAGAATCCCTTTAGAAAATGTAGAGATTTTTAAAAAACGATTGTCTCCTACTATGTACTGTGTAAGTATATGTAGGCGGGCTGGCGGGTAAACTACTGGTAACTCGTAAGTTGATCAGGGGCCAAAGAAGCTAAAGAGCAGAGCTACCCCACTACCGCGCAATGAACAACACCCTAGAGCTCTTTTCACCCTTTTACCACTGACGTATCCCCCCGTATCCCCCTCAGATCTCGAACCACTTTCCTTGGCGGATTGTCCCTTTGAATACCGGTGAATGGATTTGCTTTTCAGGTTCTGTTGCTATCCATTTCAAGATTGTAAGTCTTTGGCATAAATAACATAAGCCTTCAAATTACATTATTCTCTTTTCATCTGTCTTGATCCAAAGTTCCCGTTACACTTTACCAAGAGCTACTTTACATTCTACTTGATCTCAATCTACATTCAAAATGATGGAAATTAGTGCAACGGCTGCAAAGATCACTCACGGTCTCTTCCAGAATACACATCCCCTCAAAGCAAAATGGAATCGCATTAATGGAGTTGAGCTCCCAAGATCATCTCATAGTGTCTCGGTCGTCGCAGGTCGAGCATATATCTTCGGAGGTGAAATCGATCCACGCGAACCAGTCGACAATGATATGCATGTCATCATCCTTCCTTCTGGCACAGTCACCAGCGCCGACTATCGAACTATTGCTGCCAAGCCTACACATAATGGTGGTGAGGTTCCAGAAAAGAGAGTAGGACATACAGCAGGAGTCATCGGAGAACGAATTTTTATCTTTGGTGGAAGAGGTGGCCCAGAGATGAAACCTCTTGAAGAAAACGGCAGAGTTTGGGTCTACGATACTAGGACAGATAAATGGTCTTTCTTAGATCCAGCTCCTGGCACGCCATTCCCAGCTGCGCGATCTTACCATACGAGTGTTGCTATCGAAAAACCTGAGCCATCAAATATGAAGAGTGCAGACTTCGATCAGGCTATTGATGAAACTAAAATTGGCACAATTGCAGAAGGTGCCCAGACAGACGAGGAGCAAGGTGGTCATGGAACATTCTTCATCCACGCAGGATGCCCAGTCTCTGGACGAACAAATGATCTCTGGGCATTTGATGTTCGAAGTCGTACATGGAAGGAATTTCCTTCTGCTCCAGGGAAACCCAGAGGTGGCACATCACTCGCAGTTTCAAAGCAGAGGATCTACCGATATGGCGGTTTCAATGGCGAGGGTGAGGAAGGTGGCTATCTTGACATTTTAGAATTGGCTCTTCAAACTTTCAACGACAAATCTGGTTCGGGAGAGTTGGGAATCACTCCGAAAGGAGATTGGGAAACTTTGAACTTTGAAGAGGAGAGCATGAAATACCCCGGCAATAGAAGTGTGGCCGGCATGCATACCATCAATACTGGTAAGTTTCAACTTTATGTAACCTATTTCTGGCTACGTTGGGACGCAGTCCGTTTGTAACTTTCATAGAATGAAAGCTAACAATTTTTAGGTATGGGCAGAGAATATTTGATTCTCTTACTTGGTGAGAAAGATCCAAGTAGCGAAGGTCATGCTGGGGCTGGCAGGTTCTGGAGTGATGTTTGGGCATTTCAATGTCCTCCCCAAGGCATGACTGCGGCAAGTTTTAAGGATGCTACCTGGCAAGCACTAGGTCGACAAACTGGTGAAGGTCTTTGGAGTCAAATAGTTGTTTCGGACTCTGAGGGCGTCGAAGGTGATGACGTTAGAAAGCTTGTTCCTGGCGAGCGTGGATGGTTTGCAAGTTCGTCAATGAGCGATGTTGACTTCAGAGGTATTCTCTTGTGGGGTGGTCTGAATGGAAAGAATGAACGTGAAGACAATGGATGGATCTTAACAATTGAATGAAAGCATAGCGATGAGAGAACTCAGGGCGTTTGGAAACGGAGACAGCTTTACTTAAAATACCATAAATAATGAATATCAATGAAATAAAATGACATGCCTTGACCAGACGAATTCCACCGTTGTTCGAAGCAGCTCACGTAAAATGATGTGATAAACATCGTGGGATATTCGAACACTGATATTTCGATAACACACCAACATACCTTGAAGTGATAGGCAATTGATCAGAAATAAACTCGTCAATAGTGAAGATTACTATATCCATACCCAGTAGAATTCAACAAGAGATTCTATTTTTAAAAGATTGAATTGTTATTGGATTTTTAATCGTGATATATCATTTGAACAATCTCATGTGGGCCATCCCATCTTCCCCTTCACGGAGCTCGCCTCGCCTAGCTAGAAATGATAACGACCCCTCGTCGACCCCTCTTCTACTAAACCACAGCTACAAGCATATATAATATCAAAACCCCTCAACCACCTGCAACGCATCCTAGAACTTAATCAAGTCTACAACAGCGTTGCAGGTACCCCAATCATGCTATCCCATTTCCCTCCCCACTAACCGCTCCCCAGACCCAAAATGTCTCACGAAGCAGCCCTCACATCCTCCGCCGCGCAAGCCATTGCTCCCGATCTCTTTCCCCCGCGCACCCCTCTCAGTACCCCTCAAATTGAAGCCAGCATAACCGCCTGTCTCACCGTACAGCGTCGGGCGGTCACTCAAGGAAAACGACCCTTTGCCGCCGTGCTCCTGGGTCCCGATAACGAAACCGTACTCCTCACACATCAAAGCATCGATCAAGTAAATCATGCCGAGAGCTCTTTGGCCAAACTAGCGTACTCGCATTACACGAAAGAGTATTTGTGGAGATGCACGTTGGTTAGTACGTGGGAACCTTGTGCTATGTGTTCGGGTATGTTATGTTTATATTTTATCAACTTGCAAGTCTTGCTGTTTGAGGAGAGATTTTAGTAACCTATTTGGATGATGATTTAGCGACGATTTATTGGGCGCATATTGGAAGAATTGTATATGCGGCGACGAATGAACAATTGGCTGGTCTGACGGGGCCGGGAAATCGAGAAAATTTCACGTTGAAATGGCATACGAGAGATATTTTGGAGGGGCAACAGAAGGATATTGAGATTATTGGGCCGGTGGAGAAGATGGATATGGTGGTTGTGGAGGAGAGTGATAAATATTGGTGTACTACTAGAGCTCGTGCATGATATGATTCATATGGTAGTGGCTTTTTTGAGCTATAATGAGATATATGCTATATAAGTCTCGAAGGACATCAGATGGATGTGGTCTAGTTTTGCGGTAAGTCGAGGAACCATTTATATGGGAATGTTCGGCTGTACACATTATGGCCAGTTCTTCAAAGTGGAGAGATACTTCGCGCGTGTCGTATACGCAGTTAGACTGCTGCGTGAATCAAGTGTCAAGTTCCAACTGCTTTAAATGTTGGTAGTTATCTCTCTCTAGCCAATGGCATAGCTATCTTGGGCTCCAACTTGCTTTGTGCCCTTATACCCATTAATTTTTTTAAATATTGTTGGACATATAAAGCGAGAGAAAGTTGTGGATTTTTATCAATTTCAGTGTCATTGCATTGTCAATTTCTATCTTTCCGATTTTGAGTGTTCAGCATTAAGCGTTATGGCTCCTTTGGTGCTCACACTGGTGGTTCTTCTACCTGTGACCTTTGCCATCTGGAATCTTGTTTGCCTGGTTAAGAACTATAGGATTGCCCTGACGATTGGAATTCCCATTAGGATCCTCGTTGCAAGTGGTGATAATCCAGTAGTGAGTTACACATGATTTAATCTATCACCGATGTTACGAGCTCTTACGACTAGACGAAATTTTATATTTATACATCTTAACCCCCACTTCCTTGATATTATGGTCATACTGATATATCATGATTAGTGGATTCTCGCATCAGGCATCGTGTTTCCTATTGTAAAGGCTGTATTCGGCGATTGTGATATCGTTCGGTATAGCAAGCCGGGCTGGGAGTTCAAAGACAAGTACACCATGCACCAAAAGCTTAGTAATGCAGTCATTCATGTCTCAGCTGGTCGTAACTGGTTATATCTCTGCGATACAGATTCAGTCAATGAAGTTTTCAAGCACAAAGATGATTTTGATAGACCTCCGGACTTGCTTGGTGAGTATGATGTCGCATCTTTATTGTTTGCTTAAGGGCTAATCGTAACAGCGGTTTTGTCGGTTTTCGGACCTAATATCTCGAAAGTAGATGGTCATGAAATCAGATTCTAATGATCTGCTAAAGCTGACTTGATTTTAGGCTGCAGGTCCAGATTGGCAGCGTCAACGCAAAATTACCAGCGCTCCTTCCAATGATAAAAACACCCGGTTAGTTTGGATCGAGGGCTTAAGACAAGCAGATGAGATTTTGCAATTCTGGAAATCTCTAAAGGGCCCCATCACCCGAACAGATAAGGATACCCGTACATTCTCACTTCATGTGCTATCGGGAGCCGGATTTGGGAAATCCTACTCGTTCAAAAAATCTGTCGAATAACCCGAAGCAGGATATACTTTCAATTACCGAGATTCCCTGGCACTTGTGTTAGAGAATTATCTCCTTCTCCTTGTGCTTGGTCCTAAACTTGTCTCTAAGTTATCATAGCCACCAAAGTGGAAGCGGATCGGGCAAGCAACAGTTGATTTTAAATTTTACATGGCAGAGATGCTGAAGGATGAAAAGGATGCTATCGCGCATGGGAAACCCAGAAGTGCGACCTTTACGAGTTCTTTACTTAGAGCTTCGAAGGAACAATCTTAGTTGAGTTTAAATGGCTTTACTCTAAGTGGCTTTTAGGGGCTCACTGGAGAGGAGATATATGGAAACCTCTTCGTTTATACTTTTGCTGGCCATGATACGACGGCCGTTGTACTCAACTGAACAATCTATCTTCTCGCTGCTCACCCAGAAGTTCAAGATTGGATCTCGGAGGAGATCAACGCTGTTATAACCAACGGCATGCCATCGACTTGAGATTTCAAGGAAATATACCCGAGATCGAATAGATGCCTTGCCATAATGGTAAACATCTCACCCTTCAAACGACGATAGGATGATGCTGACTGATACGGTGTGAAATAGCTAGAGACTGTAAGACTCTACAATCCACTCATCGGTATCTGCAAATCTACCTTTGAAAGGCCACAACCGCTTACGGTCGATGGCCGAACCATCAGTATCCCGCCCGGTACGCGTATCATTGCGAATTCTAACGCTCTACACTCACATCCGCGATACTGGGGTAATAATAGTCTTGAATGGCAGTATGCTTCCCCTTATTTCTTGTAAATCCTATTAATAAAAAACCACTGACTCCTTATTCTTGCAGTCCCCAAAGCTGGATCTTAACCAAAGCCGAAAATACACACTCATCACCCATAGAGCGTGAATATGTCCGTGTACCACCCAAGAGATCATACCAGCCATGGTCTGATTCGATCCGAGCATGTCCTGGTAAGAAATCCAGCCAAGTAGAGTTTGTAGCGGCCATGGTTTCGTTGTTCAAGAGAAACCGCGTAGAGATTGTGAGGGAGGAGGGAGAAATAGAGGAGGAGGCAAAGAAGAGGGTTATGAGTGTGGTGAAGGATAATGTTATTGTTTTGTTGTTGCAGATGAGGAGCCCTGAGAAGGTGAGTGTGCGATGGGTTAGTGGAGTGTAGAGGTTTTGTGGATAGATGGGTAGGTAGATGGTTGTTGAAGCTTGGGTTATGGTGGTCTTCCAGAGACTGCAAGAGTTTTACAGAATGAAGTTCGATCGCCGGTACAATTTGAATCTTTCTTGGAATAAAATCATCGATCTTGACGGTCATGGAGGCGTATTTTGTCAACGAACCATGGCCAACTGCGTGATGAAGTTTCGACTTCCGGAGTACCTTCCGAATACTTTGATGTTACACAATGAAGGAAGCCGGAAGACAGTATTGCTTAAGCGACATGGCATTGGGCAAGTTCCAGGTTGCAACTGGAGTATTTGCGCAGAATTCCAATGTCATGAAATATATCCAAGACCATTTAAACTCACCTTTCTTCCAACTTTAACTCTCTATCTCTTAATCCGATCGACTTGATCATACGCTCTGGGCCATGGGCGGTCCTATGACAGTGAATTGGAAGAAGAAGCGTTAGAATTAGCAAGCATGGTGAATTCACGTCATTTAACTACCTACAAGCACATTAGCTTCGAGGCTTAGCGATTCAGGTATCTAGTTGTATTCACCCCTTTAGATCAACTTCCTCCTACAAGTACTGTGGTATCATGGGCCAAACCTCGAAAGATATCTCTTCAGTCTTGATATTGAAAAGAACCTACCCCGGCAAATACTGTCTTTTTCAAATGAGGGAGTTAATCAGAAACGCAAAGCTAAGGAAGTGACCATGCGATAGACACTGCTGAGCTTGTATCCGTAGAATTTGACTGCTGGGTAGAAAAAAGACCTTTTCGGAGAAACATCAAGAGAGGTTCAGACTCTCATCTCTTGCCATCATGTTGTCGTCATTCACAGCTCTTCACTGCCACCCATAGCACCATTGTTGTCAATTCAACTTGTATTATAGCAACCTAATCAGACGATTCTTATTAACAGCCACTTGGCGTGATTGAATTTCTGGAGAAAAGAATATGGTTTCGTTAGACGCAAATTTTGACCATTGCGTAACAAACTTGCTGGTGAAACAACTCATTGTTCGAAACATCGTTGACTTGATGATATTCATCGAGTAAGTAAACCTTAGGCTATTCAAAGATTTGGAAAGATTTGTTGAGTTCAAGAGGATAATGGCGACAATATTAAGAATTATGCAGCATGAAAGCTCAAGAGTGAAAGGCATACTGAGAACTGTCCAGGAGCAGATAGCGCAAATTGGGCATAGGTAGTCGAGCCGTTAGCAAATGTTTACGCTTCTCATTCATACGAATGTTATGTTCTCTCAATCAAATATGAAAAATAAATGGTAGGTAGCGAATTATCTTCCAGTCCAACTCCCAGAAATAGTCTGATAATGTTGCAGGTTGTCCCGTGTACTTGTTATTTCTCAAGGTGTCAACTTAGAAGAATATGCGAGCTCATTGTCTTACTATGGAGTAGGTAGATGATACTCGAGGTGTGAAAATAGACTAAAGGATAAGAGAGCTTGGAAGCTTGAAGACAAAACTTTGTAGAGAGAAGGATTCCAGTAATCTTCAATTGAATCAAAAATTCATGATCAAATACAAGCCGATAGAACAAAATAGAACAAGACAACAACATTAGTCACGAAAGCATATTTTTGCCAAGCAAATCGTACAGATTCATGCAACTATCCGCACTTGGCAATCTTTTAGTGAGGTACGCCTTCCAACCTTTTCAATACGATTGATATGATGAAACTTCACTCGATGTTCTCATGCCAAAAATTTGATATAAAGTCGTGATTTTTCTATTATTGTTCTTGATATTCGCGGCCTCGCCTGAAGATAGAAGGTCTATCAATGCTTGCAGGCTGGTAAACTCCACTTTTGCTCAAGAAATAGATTGGACTTTGGTTTGAGCTTATCGTACCTGAAAATATGCACAGGGCGGGGAATGTTCTATGCTTGCTGCTGCATTTCGTCTCCTGGGATGATTGATAATTCTTCAATTCATGAACAGATCAAAGAGAATGGTGGAGGCAGGGAGGCAGGCTCGAGGCGGATGCCGTAGCTTCCTATCTATGTCTTTTTCTCGTTCATCTTGATTCATTTACATGATGAGCGAAATATTCATTACTGATATCATCGGGTCTATCAAACCATAACGGTTGACTGGTGAATCAGTAGCTAATCACTAAACTCTAACAGGCAGGTGCGTAGAGGACCGAGGCGAATAAGAGAACTAAAGCCGGGAAGCGAGCCTATCTTGACTTTTTGATATCTCCAGTTTATCAAAAACGGGGAAAGATATACTAGCGTCCAATCCATTCCCCTCGTACCTTTCAACACCATGTCAATTCATGTCATATCTTCACGATTATAGGTTGAGATTGGGTTACATCGTGTGTAAGGTACGGCAACTACGGTGAAAGGATGGTGAATCTTCAATGTCTTAGTTCAAGAACCATGAATCAGGACCAGGGTAGTCCCTCCACATCGTCATAATCATGGAAATTTACATGAGATGACAGCTCCGATAGCTCGAAGCTCTCGTTATATTTTGGATAGCAGCTTTAAAAATACTTAAAGCTCTCCCAGATCCCTCGTATTGAAGAATTTCTTCTTCATTCGCAATATTTTTATACGATCCGAGTTTTGTTACTTGAGTGATCAGTCAAGATGCGTTTCTCAACCGTAGTTTCGACTCTTGCCATTGCAGGTGGAATCGCCGACGCCACTCTTCATTCTGGAAGAAGTTTGAGGCATGTTGGGAAGAAGGATAAGCAAACCCACAAAGCTAGGGATACGGCTCCAAGAGGAGAGCAGAAACATGAAAAGAGGGATGCTAGCTTTCCATACTTGACCAATTCCACTGCTAGTAAGTGTTACGAGTGCAACATTGTAGGAAAGCCACTAATGACTTTGACAGAATTCAGTGTGAATGGTTCCGCTATCCCAGATGTCAACTTCGATGTTGGAGAATCATATGCTGGTTTGTTGCCAATTTCAAAAGCCGCAAATGAGACGAGAGAATTATACTTTTGGTTCTACCCATCGACAAATGAATTGGCTTCCGATGAAATTCTCATTTGGCTTAATGGAGGTGTAAGTGACTTCACCGATTGTATATACACATCCACAACATTTGACTAATCGGTATCCCAGCCCGGATGTTCATCCCTCGAAGGATTAATCCAAGAAAACGGACCTTGGATCTGGCAATACGGTACCTACGCTCCTGTTCAGAACCCTTGGACCTGGGTAAACCTTACCAATGTTGTTTGGGTCGAACAACCCGTTGGCACCGGTTTCTCCCAAGGTGTACCTACTGCTACCAGCGAAGAAGATGCCGCTGCCCAGTTCCTCGGATTTTGGGAGAATTTCGTCGACACTTTCGCTTTGCAAGGGAGAAAGATCTTCATCACTGGTGAATCGTATGCGGGATACTATGTTCCATACATTGCCGATGCTATGTTTAACAAGAACGATACTTCTACTGTGAGTACTTCTATTTCATCAGTTGAATGTGAATTAAATCTGACAATCAATAGTATTACAACCTCGAAGCAACCATGATCTACGACCCTTCTACTTCTTACGATGCCGTTCAAGAACAGATCCCCGCAGTTCAATTCGTTGATTACTGGGGTGGTCTCTTCCCCTTCAATGATTCCTTCGTTGAACAAATTCACAATGTATCTGATTCCTGCGGCTACACCGATTACCTCGCCAAATACCTTACTTACCCACCAGCCGGGCCATTCCCATCCGCTCTCCCTGGCACAGGCGACGATGGAACCTCTACTACTGACGAATGCGACGTCTTTGATCTGATCTACAACGAAGTCTTCAGCGTTAACCCTTGTTGGGACATTTACCAAGTGGCCACTACTTGTCCCCAACTCTGGGACGTTCTCGGATTCCCCGGCTCCAACTACTATATACCTGCCGGCGCCTCCGTCTATTTCAACCGCACCGACGTTCAAAAAGCTATCAACGCTCCTATGATTGAATGGGAAACATGCTCTAGCATTGACGTCTTCGTAAACGGAACAGATAATTCTCTCCCCTCCGGTCTCTCCGTTCTCCCCTCCGTCATCGAACGTTCCAAACGTACCGTTATCGGCCACGGCGCGCTAGACATGGTACTCATCGCCAACGGCACTCTCCTCATGATCCAAAACATGACGTGGGGCGGCGCCCAAGGTTTCACAAGCAAACCCTCCGATCCCTTCTACGTCCCATACCACACCGAGCTCTCCGCCTCTACTCTTGCGGCTTCCGGAGTTTTGGGCACAACACACACAGAGCGAAACCTCACATTTGTGTATATCGATTTGAGCGGTCATATGGTTCCTCAGTATGCTCCTAGTGCGTCGTATAGAACGCTTGAGTATCTGTTGGGAAGAATCGATAGTTTGTCTAGCACAGTGCCATTTACCACGCAGGAGGATGTCGTGCAGAGTACGGCTCCTCTTGGAAATGGTACCGGGCCACCAATTAAGAGACAGTATGTTGGGGGTATGCAATTTTAGATGCGATGGGTAATGGATGTGTGGAAGTGGAGAGGAAATATATAGATAGAGATGATGCATGATTATAATGTGTATGATGAAATGAAAATATGAATTGATTCCTTAACATCAGGATGAAAAATGATCTCGGTGATTCGAATTTACTGTGTGAGAGGGCTCGCCGGGGATTGTGCATATTGATGGAGCTCGCCGGTACACACAGTGAACAAAATAAGCCTTAATTCCAAACTAAACGGTCCAATTTTTCAACCAAATCAAGGCTGAGGGGAAAGAGCACGAAAAAGGTTTGAAATGTGAAATATTGAAAATTGTTAGGGAGGAAGGATAATGTTCCCAAATGTGTTGAGATGTTTTGATACGTCATGCCAATACATTTGCCTCAGCTCACAGACTCACACGTCAATCCGACAATGTGATATTCTTTGAAGGATCCCCGTTCACTGAACTGATATCACTGAACTGATGATTTATATGCTTGACACAGCAAAAGAAGGGTTCATGCATAAAGTAAAAGGTA